CATATCTCATAAAGGTCATTTTATTGTCTTTAATAAATTGCTGGGAGTTTACCACTACCCAATCTCTCCTTCAGTAGTAGAACACCTGTGTCTAGCAGGGTACTGTTTCCCAGCCTCCCTTTAACTAAGTATGGTCACATGACTAAGTGCTAACCAATAGGATATAAGCAGAAATGTTAAGTACCACTTCTGCAGTGTGCCTGGAAGAAGAACATTTCTTACTTTCCTGTCAGTGGCTACAATGCAGATATATCGGCCTGTTGGAAAAGTCGTGATGCATTTTTGCATAGAAAAACCTAGTCATGAATTTTCCAACGACCCAGTAATAGGCATTAGAGTAGCCATTTTGAAGTGAACATGGATGTGGTGGGTGAGGATGACAGAGCTGTGCAACTCTGGAAGGTTACTATGAGAAAGAAACAAAAAAGGAGGGAGGGGGTTGGATAGGTGTACTATATTGTAGCAGTTAGACTGTAATCTTATTAACACTCGTGTGTTCAGTTACGCTGACCAGACCTTTATTTGGAGTGCCTATTACAAGTCAAGCTGTATGTAAGACAGTAGGGCTGGAGTCATGCAGAGTTCTTGTCTTCATGGACAGTAAAGCTGTAACAGTTTAGAGTTAATTTCCACCTATTAGGTTAATATGACCAATTTTGGAGGGCAGAGAAGCAGGGATGGAGAGTGAGAGAGACTTTAAAATATAGATTCTGTTCCTATGTCTCTGAATATACATATTTTTTCCTGGCTCTGAGCAATTATCAGGTTGTTGATTCATTTAGCTAACTTTTGAGGGCCTGTTATATTGTCAAGCTGAGGATAAGAAAAAGGTAAAACAAAAATTCTTCTCTTTGCAGACCTTCATTCTGGCTGATGGGAACACCAAAAAAGATAAACCAAATGTAATATGTTATTTACTGGTAAATTATATGGGGAAAAAGCAGGAAAGGGAGACATTGAGGCTGGGATAGGGGCATGGTAGGGAGAGGAACAATATTAGTTGCTAGGTAAGGTCTCCATGAGAAGATCATTTCGGTCCAAGTTCAGCTCAAAATCAATACGTCAAATAGCACTTAAACTGATTCTTATTGAAGGCAATTCAGAAGGCATATGAATTAAACTGCAAAGATCTGTGCTTTCCTGTAGGAAAAGGAGTAATTCTAACAGAAATAGCTAAAGGTCCAAACTTTTAAATGGAATGTTCTTTTGTCTCTGCGGGGGATATATAATAACTGAGGTGCTACAAAGATGGAGACAGGAAATGGTAGTCCTTACAACTTGGTGGGTTGGAAACTGGCCATTTGACAGACCAATCAAGGAAGACTTCAGTATTTCATCTGATACAAGTTTGTTAAGGTGAAAAATCAAAGGAGACGTGTTCAGATGAAGAGGACACAGGCAGATTTGATCTCTAGCTCTCCTGCAGCTGTGTTTTCCCACTGTATTTTATTGAACAAATACTTAGTGAGTGCCTATTTTATGTTTAAAACTATGCTAGGCACTGGGAAAACTGTCGCGAACAAAGAGATGGTATCCCTGACTTCACACAATGTACTTATTAGTGGTGGGAAAAGACAGTGGGTTGCTAATTATGCAGTTTTATAGCTGTGATTAGGGAAATTGCTGGGCTGTGACAGGCTAATTGATCTTATCTGAGGTCCCAGACAAGTCGTTTTTGAGGAAAAAATGTAAAGGATAACAAGACATTGGCTTGAAGAAGGAGAGATAAACAACCTAGGCAGAAGGACCTTAGAGATTGAAAGGCCGCTGTGACTACAGTCTGGAGTATGAGACAAATGCGAGATGAACAAGTGTGAGGAGATGAGGCTAGAGAGACTCGGGGCCAGATGCTTCTGAACCTTGTAGACCAAGCTTAGGACTTGGTTTTTTTAATTTATTATTATTTTTTTAAGTTTGCTACAGGGTGCATATACTCACCAGAGAGCAAACGAGAGAAAATGAGAAGGCATCTCCCAGGGAGATGGACAAGCTTCAGTCCCTTCCCCATTTTCCTCTTGGGATTTTGGGCATGCACACAAATGTGTCAGGTGTGTGTTTCAAGTTGCCAAGTCCAGAACTGTGCAGTCAGTATGTGGAATCCAGCCACCTTAACCACCACACCACAGCAGGCCCAGGACTTTGTTGTCAATCCTGAGAAGAAAGAGAAGCCACTGGAGTGGAAGCTGGTATTGGAGGCAGATACTGTGATTGGAGAGAGGCAGATGTAGACTTTGAGCTAGGGTGGTGATAGTGTAGATGGGGTTGCGTGATGTCTAGGAGGTGATGAATTGTGTATTGGAGGGTGAAGAGTTTGGGGTCAAGAATGACCACTGTGCTTTAATTTTCTTGGGGCACCATATGCTGGAGCTGTTTATTGCTATGGAGAAGGCTGAAGGAGGATCTAAGGTAGAAAGGTGTTGAGTTTTACTCATTGAGTTTGAGGTTTCCTGTGAGATATGCTTGTGGAGGTGATGAGTGGTGTGAATGGTATGGAGGAGTCACTGGAAAAGCAACTGAAGCCACGAGAGTAGGTGAGATAACTTTGTGGGCAAGTGCAGAGTGAGAGCAGACCCAGATCAGCTGTCTCCAACTCTGGGCATGCCTGCTGGGAAGCAGTAGCCTTCTTCACTGCTCTGTGATAGCATGCATCTGATGGAAAGCAGCTGCTGTTCACACAGCTGCCGGCTCTCCTGACACGGTCACATTCAGAGCAGTCACCATGTATCGAACATAAGC